TTTTTTTTTAGAGAATGAGGAACACATCCTGTAGCAAAAATTGGAACAAAATTGAGAAGAGAAACAAGCGAGAATTAATAACGTTCTTTCCTTGCAAGATGAGCTAGGATTCATTCAATCAATCAATGCGTCCACGCTTGAATTTGAGATAAACTTTCATGACAGCGTCTTTTTGAAAACATTCTCTGATCGAACATTCCCTTCCATTTCTTTGACGCTGAATCTGACAAACAAAGACATGCGCGCAGAAGTGATTTTGATGTTTGAATAATCGCTCTAAGAATTGCTGTAAAAAGTTGTTCTACAGTAAGAAAAATAAGCAAATGGAATACGAAAAAAAAGTGAAAATTTTGTATATCGGTTTTTTCGAAGAATGTAAAAACGATTGACGTAGGGAAATTGTTAATGCAGGGCACAATGAATTTTACAAGACGAACCGAGGATTAAAGATTAAACATTAAACGTTTTATGTATCGGCGATCACGATGATGCTCGATATTCATCATTCATGAATAATTCAAAAATGAAATGCCTACAGTTACACGGTACACGTGGTAGACTCCTCCCTTGGACAAAACACTGGAATGAGCCTACGGAGGAGTGTTTTATTTTGCTTATGGAATCGACGTTTGACCCTAATCCTTTCTCATTTATATTTCGTTACTTTTCATTAGGCAAATAAGTAAGTATAGTTCTATGTAAAAGTACTCTCCGACAACCAAATCTTATAATCTTAATATTTTTCAGACGGAACGTTACATCTTTTAGATAATCTTAATACTCAGAATCGTTAAAGTTCTCCAAAATTTTAAGTGTACTCTTATTGTGACTGTCTCCGTAAATTTTATGGGGAGAAAGTCAACCTTCATGAATATACATAAATTCAGTCACTCCTACTGTGGCGAGTAGTGTACTGAGGTGCGCCCACACAGGATCTCGTCAAATCCTGTATTATTTTCGTATTGTTCATTTGAGGCTTGTATTTCAATTATTTTCAAGGAAACGCAACGTGATGCAGAGGCCCAGATGAGGGGTAGAAATTAAAAATTTTTACAGTTTTAAAAACAGAACCTAATCGTTCAGAATACACATATAAAGATTTACAATAGAGAAGTTATATACACCATAATATTATGTAAACAAGATTTTACACAACAATCATTCTTCAACAATGATGAAAGCTCAGATTACATTATCACATGGAGTATATAGTAATTTTGATAATCTAGCCTAAAGAAATGGACATTTGAATCGCCATATAAAAATATATAATCAACAACAACGTAAAATGCCTCAAGTTAAAAACAAGGCTTCAGAAAGTCGAGAACAGAAATAAAAGACCACCGATATATTTGTATTCTAAGCGTATGGGACATGGAATTCTCTTACTTGATCTGGCCTGAGGCCGGGCGGGACCCACGTGTACTCTTCAAGCGCGCATCCGCTGTCATCGTCGCTCTGTGAGTGCCTCTGATGATGCATCAGGGCCTCTTGAAGGGCGAGGCCCGGCGGAGCCGGTTGCACGGGACTCTTGAAGGGTTCTTGGTGAGAAGAACCAGCGGCCCCGCTTTGGAAAGCCATGGCCATGGCCATCGGCGGACCAGGACCGAGGCCGAGTCCCGAGGGACCTCCCGCCTCCGTCGAGGTCCGCTGATGCTCCTCTCTGGGACACCTGCAGCTTCTGCACACCTTCCTGAAATCAGAATCGAAAACTCTAGGTTGGAGTGATTCAAGCTAGCGATAACGAGGTCATTGGGCTTTCTTATATTCTGTCAAAGTTTTAGTTATAATTTTATAACTGTTCCAACTTTGTGAAATGTATATAGTTCATGTAATTATATTACTTTAATACCGTGCAGTTCTATTTGAGGTTCATTCAATTTTACAGATTTCTTGATTTTGTTGCAGAGAATTTTACTTGAGTAAAACATTGAAACATAGAACAATTTTAAAGTATTTAAAGATTTCCAATTATGAGAATATATGAATATATCAATGTGTATCATGCGAAAGCTAAACCATGATTCTATATGTTTAAACGGGGAAAATATACTCTTCTAGATGACGTTTGCTATGAAAGCAAAATCATAGACTTGAAAGGTAAGGGTTTATCACATTTGTTTGTTCTTAGAACAAATGACTTTAAATGCAACAGATTTGATTTGTAACTTCTAATGTTGTTAATATATTACAATTTCTCTGTAGTGGAACGAAAAACTCATGGTAACACCACACGGACTGCATATAAACGCAGCTGCGTTCCAAGAATATATACTTTTTTTTTTTGCAGGAAGCGATAAATTCGCTTCCCATCAATTCAAAGAAAAGGAAGGACTTCGATCGCCGTGCAAACCCATCAATTTCGATTAAAAAGAAGGTACATATAATCAAAAAGAAAAGTAGTGTACTCTTTAATTTCAAATGAAAAAGGAAGGAAACTGAATATTCTTAAAAATAAACGCAAACAAACCCTTTAATTTTCATTGCAAAAGAAACGAAGAAAAATGCAAATAAGAACGAAATTAACAAGTTTTCAGAAATAATGTAAGACTGTCACCTAAATAATTAATTTCAATTAATATTTCTAGTTCCAATTCAATATCAATTAACAACTCTTCTGAAGTTTATTATCATTAATAATTGACAAAAAATCATGCACGTAATTCAATTAATTTTTTCCCCTTAAAGGTAGAAAGGGAGAAAAACGAGAATAAAACATTAATTCAATTTGTAAAGAAAAGATATATATGTTGTAACCTAGAGAGTAGTACATCATTGAGGTAGCCTGCGCGCGAAAGAGTTTCATGGCCTGACAAGAAATCCTATTTGCATGAAAGACATAAATAAATTGGCAGCAAGTGGCAAGTCTGATAACACGGTAACCAACTTGCAAAGCATCCGTTCTCATCGGAACTCCATACTGCTTTCAAGCTTCAATTAGTCTATCGTAATTTGAAAGCAGATTATACGTCGTATAGGCATCACTGTGTGTAACGAGGGAAAGGAAGAATTCAATTTCCAATGAGAAAGTGCAAATTTAGTTGCGCAGGAGATTACGTATGCATAGTCAATATAGAAACGAGAAACATCCTAATTTCACAATTTCCTTTGAATTTATACACCTAAGAGTATATATTCTGTTTTGATTTACTTTCTTTCTCATTGATTAATTAGTTTGTAAGTTTTCCGACATGAAATTAAAATGATAAATGATTGAAGATCAAAGTCAAACTTTGATACTGATATTCAGTATTCTATTGACTTTTAAGTTAATTCTATTCAGCATTCAATTCAATTTAAAGTTAACTCAATCGTTTTTAATTCAATCTTGATTTCTAGGATGTTTTAATCTTTTATTTTCTCTTCTAAGTTTAAGTCCAAGCTTAATTTAACTCTGCAATATTTGAAAACAAATTAGAATTATTCAAAAAGTATCTCTTTAAGTAAAAACTAAATTCAACCAACGATTTGTCGACAAATATGATATGCATCTAAGACTTAATGTTTAATTACCATTAATTCGCATATTTCAGTAAGATTGTATCGTGATAGTATATTTATAAATAGTGATATAATTCCAATCAAAAGAACCTTAAAGTAATGATCACAAATAAGCATTTAAAAATGTTTGCTTTTAATACTGAACCATCCAAAAACTACTTCTCTCGAAGGTAAGCATCAAACCTTCCAAACTAATAACAATCAACCAAACACGAAATACTTTCT